TTTGCCACTTGTGTTTATCTGCCTTTAGACTTTGATTTGGATAAATTAAGCTCTCAAGTGTTCCTTGCTTTATGAAACTCTGCATGTTGTACACTTCAACACAAATAAATGACTTCTACCATTAGAGGTTTAAATAATGTAATGTATTTCATGCTCAGCCTGAAGCGGGATTCCAATGAAGTTGCTAATGCACGTAATGATTAAGTGTAACTCAAATACTAACTGTGTTGTTGAAAACATGACAGGCAATAATTTGGTCTATTATATTCTGCTATTTAATTGCCTAGTACACACATTCTCTGACACGTTATGAAGCAATGATTTACAATTATTCAAGCTGCAAAGGTCAGAAAGTGACATTATAATCATCTACACAGAGATCCCTTCTAATGCACAAAAAATAGGTAACACGACACAAAAATAGTTTTACTGAAAGTTTCAGCTTTCTCTTTAAACTGTTTCCTAGCCACAGAACAAACAGTTCACATTATGGCACATGTGAAATTTAGATGTGCAGTCCTCTCTCTTCCTAATGACAAAGTTAAGAATGCATCTTCTTTGTTCTCTACAAGCAAGACTTCACAAGTGCAAGTTAGCAATCTGTTGAAGAAGTACCCATGTTCAAATATTCTGGAACTAATTTAAAAAGGAGAAGAAAAGGTATAATATACCTAGTCTGTTCCTTATGTGAAAAAATGGATCTCTAGTAGTAACATACATAAAAAAGGAGAAATACAGATACCGGTACTTTGGTTGCAAATATTTCAGAAGATTTTAAACCCATTCATTGCGACACTGTTCTCAAGAACATTCGCATACTATAAAGATAAAGCTTCAATTTAACTTTACATATCTGCCAAGCTTTTCTCCAAATTCAGAATGACTCTTGTTTGAAACAACAAATACAATATTAAAGAAGGCCATCACAACATGTTGGCAAAACAACCAGGGACAAACATTAAAAGAAGTTTGAAAACACTTCAGCAAATGATGTCTGGGAAAAACATAAAAATGCCAAACAAAAAAAGATAGGGGGGAAAAGACACACATGCATACTAATTATTTGAAAGCCCTTGAGTGGCTAAAAAATTGAGGCACTATTTATTGCAAAATATGCTTTGAAATTTGAACAGCAGTAAAGATCGTATGTTAATATTCTACCAAAGGTACGTTTTTGACGTTTCTGCCAGAATGTATAAGAATCTCTGAGTAGAACTATCAGCATTAACATAGGACACTACCCCATGCCTTAAGAAATAAAAACCAAAGGATATAGCTTAAGTTGTTAGTTTTGTGTGTTTTCTTAAAGCTGAGTATCCAAAAACATGGGAAATAGAATTTTTTAATTTATACTTTCCTTATAAATTCTGATCAAAATCTCAAGTGCTGAACAATTCATTTTTCACATACCTGAGGCATAAAATCTCAAAAATGCACAATAAGCCTTTTCGGTACATTCCACTGTGCAAGTTTAAAAGAAAAAACGTAAATGCTGGGAAACCAGTTAGATTTGCTAATCTAACTTCATGTCATGAACAACTTCATAGCCAGACTTCTGAAAATTAAATTTAAATAGGTAGCAGTTGGATACTCACTGAAAACAGATCCCTTCTCAGAGAAGGGATGCATTTCCCATTCATGAACATAACACAAAGGAAAACAATCACCACACATATGCCAATAAGGAAATGAGTAGCAGACGGTTTATTTCAAATGCTGGAAGATCAGCAGCTTCCAATTTCTATTGCAGAGTATTTCTACTTTGCAGCTGGAAAAAATTAAACTTAGATTTGAAACAATAAAAGCAACATGCAAAAACACTGCTGTCTTTTTCTCCTCTGTGTTGACTGTGGTACGTAAGTTACTGTACATAGTCTTCTGTTCATTTTTAGCACTCAGATTGGCATTACTTTACAAAGGCCCCCCCTTTTCTGATTCATAACAAAATTGTAGTTCTCAGTAATCAAGTGATACTTTCCTTCCATAATTATCCACAGCCTTGAGCTGACATTTCACCTTTAAAAAATGCCCAAGCAGGTTGTGTGGCAATTTGAAAAACAATTTAACCTTCCAACTAATAGAAAACTTGTTGTTTGAAATCGAAAAGCCACAGGACAGGATCTTAACTACTGCTGAAAAGAAAACATAGTACAGGACCTTCTGTTTGTGACAAAATTACCAAGTTAATGTTCCTGAAAGATCACTTCACCTTTTAAAACATGATTTTTTAAAAAGGTAAATTTATAGCAATTAAAGCTAATGAAGAAATGCAGCATGAGCTGCTTATGTTCAGGAACTAATAGGTCCATTGAGCATTTCTAAGATTATTTAGCCATCAATGATAATGAATTGACATTGACAGTGGTGTTAATGTACCAATGCTCTGATAGCCAATCCCGGTAATATTATGTTGCCACTTCTTCTTTTTTTTAATCTATGCACTTTCCTATCATTTTGATTAGCATAGTAGAAATACAGCAGAGAGTGTTGTTATACCGACCCACCCACTCCCAACACACACACACACACACACACACAACACACACACACAGAGGCTGGCATATTCGTTATTTCAGTTGACTGTTTTTAAACTCCCTTTGAGTTTGTTAGTTGTAGAATTTCCAGGCTGTGTGGCTGTGGTCTTTGCAATATAGGACCTGGCGTTTCGCCAGCAGCTGTGACTGGCATCCTCAGGGGTAAAACACCGAAAGATGGAGTACTCTCTGTGTCAAGACCTTGACACAGAGAGTACTCCATCTTTCTGTGTTATATCTCTGAGGATGCCAGTCACAGCTCCTAGAGAAACGTCAGGTCCAACAATGCCAAGACCATGGCCATACAGCCCATAAAATCTACAACAACTAATGAACTCCGTCCATAAAAGCCTTCGACAACATATCCCTTCTAGTTTGTTAGGATATTGTAATTCTTTTGCCAAGCCAGCTACTGCTAATGAATGATGGCTACAAACACTTATGTTACATATCAGTTGAAATGTAATCATTATTTTAACTGCAAAAATTTAATACACAGAAACAGGTACATGTCACTTATCAGCAACATTATCTCTCACACACTCAGGTCGTTTTATAATTCCAAAACATAATCATGATACATGTGATAAGTATGATAGACAGATCATGATAGACAGATATGATACAGTGTAATCCTTAGCAGAGTTACACCCTTCTAAACCCATTAACTTCAATGGGCTTAGAAAAGTACAACTCCAGTTAGGATTGCACTGATAATTCTCCAGTATGGCATCTAAAATTATTTTTGATGCAATTCTAAACAGAGTTACACCATTTTAAGCTACATACATACCTTCTTCACAAGCATACCAATTGTAATTAAAATGGTGCACCAATCCCATTTCTACAGCTCAGTACAGGGGGTGGGAGAGAACTATGTGTAAAACAAGAAAGTCTTGCTCACAGAATGATTAAAATAATTTAACTGATTGCTGCTTAAGTACAGCATTCAATTATGGTACACACAGCCAAAGTAGCAAGGCATAAGAAAACACCCCTCAATTAATGTACACTGGACAAAGTTCATAACAATTTTCCTTGTGATATAAAATGACTTGGCCCTCAACTTTCCACTTTCCTTCCTCCACCACCACCACCCCATGAGGGAATAAGACCACCCTTACCAATTCAATAGCATTATGTGTGAAAGATGTATAAATTCAGTGAAACACATTTGCTTTGGAATTCTGCATTCACTTTCTTTCAGCAGATTTTAATTGCAAGTACTGATGAGAACAATACCTGCTGAAAAATATCACTAACTATGGGGTTACCATGAGAAGCAAAAAAGAGGACATATTTTCTGACTGACTACTTTGAACAATGGATCACTATGACAAAACTCATTTTAAATACCTCTACTATTTAAGCCACTTGGAGACTTACAGGGCTCAGGGAGGGGGGGACTTATAGGGCTCAGCCTCCCAACCCAAAATAAGGACATTTTCATCAGTTTTTTAGAGTCCAAAAGAGGGCAGATTTAATTAAAAAAAAAATTCAGAGGACACGTCCTCTTAAAAAAGGACACCTGGTAACCCTAACTATCCACCTCAGCATTCCCATGTGGACTATATTACCAAACTGAACCCATCCCATTCTATGATCTCCACTATTTAACCTGGGTTTTTTTAAGGAAAGTGTTTTATACGATGCATATATTTGCTCATGCTTTTCACATAATAACATAAAAACACAGTTTTAATAGACATATACTAAAACCTACCTCTGAATGTCCAGTGATGTACCATATATGCGGTGGCATTTTAAAACCTTTTAACATTTCTGCTAAATTAATTAGTTTTGCATCAAAAGAGTCTCAGTGCTTCTCTATTAAATGCAACATGTTTGAAGGACAATTAAACATTATGAATGGTCCTTCAGACGAAATAACTATTATAAATGAAAGGAAAACAGAGAGGTTTTTTCCCCCTGAATCAGCCAGCACATGTGCAAAATGCCTCCGAATTTTTAATAGACACATTGCAAGAAGCAATATGTTAAAATCCTTTGAAAGTTTCCTTCTGTTGTTTCCTGAAGTACAGAAATCGTACCAGAGCCTCTTCAATGAGCTAGAATTATAACTAGATATAGCACAAATACACGTATGTGCACATATACACAAAACGCACACAAAATTAAAGTCTATATTATTTTTAAGCATTTAAAAAAGGAATTTACAGTTCTCCCTGGCAATGTGAATGAACATCCTATAATTTAGTCAATTTACAGATTACAGGTTCAAATTGACCTTGTAGCCCATAAAATTGCTCATCTGCAGTGCTGGATTAGAAGTAGGAAAAGAATGTCATAACTGTATTTAAGGAATTTACCATAACAATGGGAAGGAGGATATGCATGCATAATTTTAGCCCCTCTTGCTCACATCTCCATTTTGAATGCTGAAACAATGCATAGCCTACACTTCTCTCTGGTTAACCATGGGAGGAACTGTTTCAATTTACTCACCCACAGACATGACACTTGTATTCCCTCATCCCAAGGTGCCTCTTGACATGGTTTCTGGCATCTCCTAGCTGAGCTGTTGCAAAGTGGCAAATCTTGCACTTGAATGGCTTTGATCCTAAGTAAAATTTAGCATAAGATATGAGCTGAATGAGAATATTATATTACCCTTGGTTAAAGAAATCACATTTTGTGAGGAAAATAGCCTTTTATAAAAAGAATGTGTGTGCGCGCACAAACCACTACCCAATATTTAACCTGTTTCAAAATCTCATGTAGCCCCAAAAAGAAAGATGTCTGTTGCATACATTTATAACTCCAGGGATACTGCTAGGGTATTTGCCACATATTCCTCATTAAAGATACTTTTCTGAAGTTCAAACACAAAAGTTAAGCAAGAATGGGGTTTCATTAATGAGCACTCACTCATTATGGAAACAGTTTTGATAATTAAAAGATAAGATAGTTGGGGAACTTTAAAACAAGGTCAGAAAACTTGCTCCGTTACTTTCCCCCTAAATGGCTTAGTCTTAGGATACAATCCAGTAGAGACTGGACTGCATCCGGTTGATATTCATGGAACATAATAGATTTCAGAATTTTACAGGCAGACTTCTTATAAACACAGTGTCTTTAGGTGTGCCCATATTACTTAATTTTATTATTTATTCAATTTATATCCTGCTTTTTGATCATAAAGTCTTCCAAGCAGCTTACTTTTTGAAGAAGTATTAACTTATTCCCATCCTGTCTCCAATAAATAGCCCCAGTGGCGGATTCAGAATGGAAGCTGCTGGAAAGAGGGACACTTTTTAGCCCCTCCAAGAATTAGGGATCTTTTAATGTCCCAGGAACCAAGAAGAGAGGAACCAAGTGAAACGTAGCCCTGAAATAGGTCCACAGCTGAAAGAAACAGCTCCTGATCAGATCCCACCAAAATGTGTGTACTGCTTGTTCATGAATACCAAGAGGATTACACCTAAAAATGTTTTCTTTATTTTAAAGTAAAATGTAGTTCGACAGATTACCTGTTTTCACTGTGTTCCTCTAATCTGATAATGGATAGTTTTAAATCTTAGCACCAATAGTTCAGATTTCTCTCCCTCTTGCTTTTGGTCATACAGAAAGAATGATTCATGGCCTTTCTATTGCTATGAAATGCAGTCTATGAATATACAGTGAATAAAATATTACACCTTTATGACTGTTTTATGGTCAGGAATTTATGATTATTCTGAAAACTAGAAGTATTGACATTTTGGCTATTATTTATTTCAAGAACAAACTTTAACTGCCTAGAAGAGTCCAAAGAGTTATAGATTCCTCCCCCCCCCCAATCCCTCACAAGAAAGCAAAAATGACCTGTTCTTTTGCAACACAATCCGGCCAAGGAAAAGGGAAATTGGACATTGTAACCAAAGATGACTTTCCAGTCAAATTAAGGTAATTATATTATCACAAAAATGAAATCATTAAATCTGGCAGGTGTCAGTACTGGGAATCTAAGTGATGACACATCCTTTTAAAGTACACCACGACCATTTCCAACTTTTATAGGACTAGCAGATCTCTATATCCATAAATCCCAGAATTGCAGTTAAGAGTAAGTGCAATATGCTCGCAGATACTTCATATTATGTTTGGGATATGTTTTGTGAAGAACTTCTTCCAATATAGTTAAGCATAATATGAAATATGGGATCTTTAATAAATATACATAAAAGAGCTCGGATAAGAAAAATGTTATAGTACATCATACTTGATCAATGAACCTTTCGGCTGTGCCCTTGAACACCGAACATCCTCAAAGAAGACTTTGTTTAAATTGAGGATCTCAGTAAAAAAAATTTTAGAGTCTTAAATTTTAATTTAATTCTCCAAAGCTGACGAAAAATGAAGCATTTAATTTTAATCTTCCAACGGAAATAAAAAAGTCAACAGTACTAAGCACGGGCAGACAAGGTTGAATATTTCACAGTTCAATGACAATGAAGCCAGATCTCTTAATACTTCCATTTCTACTGCTAGAAGTAGATGTAAAATATATTTAGCACCTGAATGGTTATATCTAGTCAGCTTTATATGTTTAAATGTCAAAAGCAGGTTGAGACTACAGCTAACAGAGATCACATTCTATTCATCATACTGGAAAATTCCAGTTTATTTAAATTATCCTGATAAAACTGAATTAACTATTAATTTGGTGGCATTCCAGATCAACACTGTATTCTATAAAGAGACCCATGAAAATAAAATAAATTTGAGTAAAGTCAATCTACCTCCACATTAAATTCAAAGTATTGAAACTGATGTTCTAACTCATGAGCTTAAATACTCATTATACCACATATAGTGCCAAGGCTATGTCCAGTTATGGTAAAGCATATTTATATTTTATTTCATAAAAGCTAAAATATCTTCTAGATTCAGCCCCATATTCTTTTGGTTTCTTTCTCCAGCTGATTACATAGTAAATGTGCTCCTTTTCTATTACCACTGGTGGCCCATGAGCTCTTGTTTGTTTCCTGTTCTCCGGCAAAAGGACTGCTTTGCAACCAGTACTACTGGGTCCATCAGCCAGGATGCTTGATGCACTCAAAGTTCTGGGGGCAAATTGACAGTATAAAGAACATTCACTATAATTTTGCTATCAATATGTGAGTACTGCCGCACTGATGCTAACATTCTCTATTATTAACTAGACCTGACCTATTCTAACATATTGGTTAGAATCTATCTCCCCACCACCACCACCACCATGCTTTTCAACATAAAGCCACTGGGAGACGTCATCTGGAGATCTGACATGCTTCCAGAAGGTCCTAGGGAGGCTGTGGTAACCATGAATAGGTGCCTGGAAGAAGTTTTGGGATAGATAAGAGCTGACAAACTGAAGCTTAATCCTGACAAAATAGAGGTACTACTGGTGGGGAAAGGTTTGACCCAGGTGCTGCGGTATCACCTGTTCTGGATGGGGTGCTCTACCCCTAAAGGAGCAAGTTAATAGCCTGGAGGTGCTGCTTGGGCCAGGCCTCTTGCTGAATAAACAGCAGTAGGGTAGCCAGGGGTGCCTTTCACCAGTTTCAGATGGTGAACCAGCTGAGGTTCTTCTAGGGGAGAATCTTGCCATTGTGGTGCAAGCCCTGATAACATCTACATTAGACTACCATGTTCTGCATGTGGGGCTGCCTTTAAAGACAATCCTTAAGTTACAGCTGGTCAGAATTCAGCAGCCAGAATGTTGACTGGAGTGTGTCTTAGGGACCAGATAACTAGTCTTGTACCATCTATGCTGACTCCCAAATTGCTCCCGGGCTCAATCCAAGGTGCTGTTAATAAACTTTAAAGCCCTATATTTCTTGGGGCAGCGTACCTTCTCCCATATGAATCTACCAGTCCTCTCCAGTAAGCACGCCCTACTTCAGGTGGTCCCTCCAGCTGAGGGTAGACAGGTGGCAGCCCAAGAAAAGGCCTTCTCAGTCTTGGCAGCAAAACTTTGGAACTCTCTCTCCTCCCTGGAGAGAGATTCATTTCTCTTCCCTTCATCACTGCTTTCGGCCAGCAGGTGAAGACCTTTTTGTTTTGCTTGACATAAGCCCAATAACTGTTACAGGCCCTCCTCCCTGGTTGTATTATATGTGTTTATGTATTTACTGAATCATTTAAATATTTTATATATACTCCATTTTAAATGCTGCTTTACTGCTTTCAATGTTTTAATGCTTAAATATTTAAATGTTTTGATGTTTGCCACCTTGAGGATTCTATTTGGAAAGGCATAGAAATGTTTTGAACAAATATCCGTTTGCTATTTAAAAAAAATGAAAAAGCCCTGGTGACCTTGAGGGGACTGACCAGGCATATGGATGCTGTATCAACAGTAGCAGCAGCAATGGGGAACCTGCACAAGCCTGTCCCTGTGCAGACAACACCTCTTCATGGCTCCTTCCACAGTGCATTCTGTGCCCCTTTTCTCTCTCAGATCCGCAGCTCCTCCTTGTAATCCTGATAAAAACCATCTTTTCCACAAAGCCTCCCCCAGTTTCTGGTACTCCAACTCTTCAGCACCCAATGCTGCTATTCTATTCCTCTCCACTACTGATTTTCAAAACTGTCCTTTTTTCATTTACATTTTTATATAACATAAAGGACTACATTACTCCTTTGGACTGTACAGTACAAAACAAATAACTGATGCTGAATAACTTCTAAGTAGTAGTGCTGGAACATTCCTCTCTTAATGGCATTTAAGAGACAAACAAAACCTCATCGGAAACAACATGTGCTAGAGTAGGCAGGAAGTAAGAGAGGAACCTGGCAACTAAGAACACCTTCCAAGGTTGCCTCTGGATTGGGACATTCCTGGAAATATTGGGGTAGAGCCTGGGGTATAATGTCAATATTGTTCACACTCCAAAGAAGTCATTTTCCCCCAGGGGAACAGTTGTAATTCCAGGAGATCTCTAGGCCTCACCGGGAGGCTGGCTAGGGATCCCAAGTCCCCCGGGGGGGCGGGGAAAACCCCGCCCCAGAGGCCCGTTCCCTGGCACCGCCGGATCGGGCCCCGGGGGAACTCCTCCCCGACGTGCGCATTACCCAGAAGTGACGCGGGCACGCCGGGCACGCTGGGGGTGGGGCCATGGCCATACAAGGGAAAACTCTATGGTTTTCCCTTGTATGGTTGTGGCCCCGCCACCAGTGTGCCCGGCATCATAACATCACTTCCTGGTGATGTATGTGCGGCGCGCGCGCTCTGGGATCCACCCGGGAGTCCCCCGCCGCCAAGGTAAGTTCCACTTGGCAGCCCTAAGGCTGGCAGCCCTAATGGCTTTTCACATTATTTTAGCAACATGAGAACTGCATTGTTGTAGCAAGATCCCATGTGGCTCTGATATATACCCAAAGATGTCAACCAGCTGCATGGAATTTTTCTACATGATAGCTCGCCTTTTTCCTGTCCAAGTTTCAGCTGGTAGCAAAGAGCCACATGACTGACCCAACACTGCACTTTCTATATACTGATAATACCACACTCATGGGAGATCCTGCCATGCAGATGTGGCTCCCATGATATTGACTCTACAGAAAGAGGAAAAGAAATTGAATGAAAGCATGACT